TGATTAATTTTCTTTTTCCTTCATCTAAGAAAATCTTATTTTCTCTTAGTTCCTAGAGGATTTTTTTTGTTTTTTGTTGTTGAATATAGAATTCTGGGTTGACATTTTTTCCCTTTTAGCATTTTAAAGCTGTTGTCTGTCTTTGAGTTCTGTGTTTTCTGGTAAAAAAAAAAAATCTGTAGTCATTCTTGCTTTTCCTCTACATAGAATATTTAAATTTTTTTTCCTGGGTTCTTTTGAGATTAAAAAAAAAAAAAACCTTTGGAATTTAGTTGTTGAGCCAGAGGCATTTAAACATTTATTTACTTCATTTATTTGAATTTATTCTTTTTGAAATATGCTGAGCTTCTGAATCTATAGATTTAGATGGATGTCTTTCACAAATTTGGGACATCTTTAGCCATTCAAATATTATATCATGCTGTATTCTTTCTCCTCTCTTTCTGGGACTTCAATGGTATGACCTTTTAATACCCTCCCGTGCTTCTCAGTAGCTCTTTACATGAAGTGTTCTTCCATCCCCCCCAGCCCCCAGATTCACTCATTTCTTGATAGCTTCAGTTCTTACTCCTCTGTTATTTCCATTCTACTATTAGAATTTAAAATAATCAGAAACTATATATGTCTCTTCTCAAATTCCTGTTTGGTTGTCTCTGTCTCTCTGAGAACACCTACTCCCCTTTGTCTCAAACATGCCTGCCTCTTTGTCATGGGAATCACTGTAGTACTTGCTTTTAGCTTGAGCAATTCTGGCATCTGGGTCTTCTTAAAGATTGGCATCTTTATCATTTCCTTAAAAAAAAAAAAAGGAAAAGAAAAAAAAGCTCCTGATAAGACTTTTCCTGATTCCTTGTAGATGAGTAATTTTGGTTTCCGTTCTGGCTACTTTGAATATTCTGCTGTGGAACTGAGTTCTGCTATAATCCTCTGGGCAACACTTGCTTCTGTGATGTCTTCAGTACAGTCAGTCCAGGTGTGATTCTGTCCTTTGTGTCAGGTCAGCTGCGTCAGCCCTTTGTCCACTGCTGCAGGTCCCCCTGTCGCTACGGAGTCTGGGGTGGAGCCTTTCCTTCAGCACCAGTGGGACGTCCCCTCCTCTGCATACTCTCTGCTAAGGCTTCCTTTCCTGATCTGGTCAGAAAGCCCAGTTTTCTCATAGTCTTAGCTGCCAGCCACTTGCTCCTGAAGGTCTCCTGGGAATCTACCTTGGCTCAAAGATGCAATAGAAAAAGAACAAATGAGACCCTCCCCCCACATTGGTTGCCCCCACATTTAGGCTGCTCCATCCTCCTGTTTTGCAGTTCAGAGTCCTTGGGTCATTGGCTTTGAGTTTTGCCTGAAGCTGCTAGTTCCTGTCTGGCAGAAAGGGCTATAGTGAGTTGAGTCCATCTTGACCCACAATAATGTTCTGGTTTATGGTAATTCTATGGAAACGTTTTACCATTTAGGATCAGAAAATGTACATTGTGTTGGTGGCCACGACTTTTAATTTTGAACACTTCCTGGCATTTCGTGTTGAGCATGTTGCCCATATTTTGTAGCATGAAGGCTAGTTTTGTAGAATCTTATCTCCCACCCCCAGACTTTTCTCCTCATCATGTTGAAACAAGATGAGGTCCATGTGGCTAAATCCAGCCGGTATTTCTGTCTTTATCTTGATTTCTCAACACACTCAAGTCTTCTCTTCTTGAAATGCTTTCTCCTCGGAGCTGTTACTCTTCCTACCTCCCTGGCCATGTCTTACATCCTTGTTACTGGTTCTTCTTAAGGCCCAGCCTCTAGATCTCTGAAGGAACCCCAGTCCATATTTATATTCCAAGCCCCTTCTTCTTCTTCTTTTTTTTTAAAAGGATATATTTATGCATATAAGAAGTGGGGTACAGGTCAGAGGTATGGGGGTGAGAGGATTCACCAGAGACAGAGTGGGGAGCAGAACAGGCAGATCAATGAAGTACACTGCTGAGGGGAGCAGCGGGCGGGCCAGGAGAGGTCTGCTGCACCCTGTGGGTCACCTCTGGGGCTGGGGATCAAAATCACGCTGCAGTAGCTGTGGACAGCCTCATAGTGCCGGCATCTCCTCTGACTCCAGATGCCAGGGCGAAGGGAGTGCTGATCTGTCACCTGCTCTCTGGTGCAGGAAGGTTGGTGGCAGAGTCTGCTTCCCGGAATGTCATCCAGGCACCTGGGTCTCCATCACGCTGCGTGATTCATTGCGAGGAATCCATCACCCAGCCTGGCAGCAGAGGGGGAGAAGGCCAGCATCTTGGCTCCTTCTCTTCTCCTCTCTTTCACTGATGTCAGAGCCACGAAGCCTCATCGCTGCTCTGAGGTTGGTAATGGTGAGGGACCCTGGCCAGGGCTGGGCAGGGTCTGCTGTGCCCCATGGTGATGGGCAGATGCCACCAGCCCAGACACTGAAGCAGTGCAGATGGGGGGGGGGTTGGGTGACAGTCCCAGGAGGCGACCTCCGGCTGACCAGCCCCCTCCTCACCCCCACGCCTCTCTTACGTGAAGCACCCACATGCATTCTGGGCACTGTGTCAGCTGTCTCCGTGATAATTTGTATCTGTGAGGTGATTTCATAAATCTGGGTGGCCCCACATCCACTGGATTTCTCCCTTAATTTTTTTTTTTTTTACTTAAAGTAAAAGTCATTCTTTTTAATGTATGGTTGCAAGAGTTTTTAAAAAGAGACACAAATTGCATGCCTGCCTCCACATTTAAGATATGCCCCCCCCCCCAATTCTGCCATGACCCCTCTTGGTCAGCCCCTGCTACACCTCCTACTGCTTGAAGCTGCTGATTATTTTGCCCTTACAGTTTTGCCTTTTCCAGAATGTTCTATGAATAGAACTGCATAGAATGTAGCCTTTTGAGTCTGACCTCTTTCACTCAGCTTAATGCATTACAGTGATTCATGGTGTTCTTTTTGCTGAATGTTAGTCCATCATGTGGAGATTTGTTTATCTGCTCCCCCCTTAAAGGGTGTTTAGATTGTTTCGAGTTTTTAGTGGTTATGAATAAAGTTACTATGAACATGTGCATAAAGGTTTTTTGTGTGAATGTAGTTTTCCTTTCCCTTTAGTAGGTACTTAGGAGTGTATGGCCAGTGGCTATTCGCCTTTTAAAGAAGTTGCCAAATTATTTTCCAAAGTGGTTGGACCCTTTTACATTCCCACCAGCAATATTTGGGTACCTTGTCACTGCTTGATAGAGCCAGGCTTACCTTCAGCCATTTCAGAGGGTGTGCAGAAGAATCCTATTATTGTTCTGAACTTCGTTTTTCTAATGACTAATGATGGTGTGCATCTTCTTCACGTGTTTATTTGCCATCCAAGTGTCTTCTTTTGTGAAGTGTTTAAATCGTTTGCCCACTGAGAAAAGCTTGCTTATCTTATTGGAGGTTTCCTAGTAGAACATTCCTGCTAGCCTTTCCTATGCAGAAATGGCAAAAGTGAAGAATTGTTGCCATGCATTGAAATGGAAACATTTTTGAACATTCCTAGACCTAAAAATAACCCGCCAAGGAACATATGAAACCTGAAAGTATACTGACATGGAGTAAAGGCAGGATTGAAGGGTAAGGCCGTGGAGGGGTGGAGGGGCTGGAGGGGCTGGGGACTCCCCCCTGCTCTGCGCCACCTGCTTCTAGGACAGCTGCTGCAAAACGAAGTCGCCGTTGTCTTCACTTTCACTTTCTCCTTTGTGTGCCATAAAAGTGAAAATCCTCTTTGGATTTATTTTGGTTCATGAAAACAGGTACTAATGTAGGTCTTTTGTAAAAGCAAAGTGGTATAATGTGAATTTTCAAGCAGTTCAGAGTATCTTTATTGGATTTTGAGTTCTTTATTAGATGTATAATTCCTAAATATTTTCCCCCAGTTATGGCTTGTCTTTTTGTTCTCTTAACAGTGTCATTTGAAGAGTAAAATTTATCAATTTGTTCTCTGTGGATCAGGCTATTGATGTTTATATATAAGAAAATTTTACCTGAGCTGCAATCATCCTGATTTTCTCTTGTGTTTTCTTTTAAAATGTATAGCTTTAGGCTTCGCATGTATATCTAGAATCTATCTTGTGTTGATTTTTGGTAAGGTATGGGTCAAAGTTCTTTTTTTTTTTTTTTTTGGCACTTGGATTTTGATTATTCCCTACCATTTACCATAAAGGCCATTCTTTTTTTTTTTTTAAGCTTTATTTTTATTTGTTTGTGCATACAGAAGTGGGGTACAGGCCAGAGGCTCAGGGGCGGCGAGAGGCTTCACCAGAGACAGAGTAGGGAACAGAACAGGCAGATTGACGAAGTACACTGCTGAGGGGAGCAGCGGGCGGGTCAGGAGAGGTCTGCCGCACCATGTGGATCTCTTTCGGGGCAGGCGGGAATCGAACTCATGAGGAAGTAGCCAAAGCCTCTTAGTACTGTGCTTTAACCCGCTGTGCCACCAGGGAGGGCCGCTGCACAGGATTTTACAGCAGGTCTCCTAGTCCTGTTCCATGGGCCCTTGAGTCAGGCAGCCAGCAGCCACCGAACACTTGCTGAGTGAAAAACTTTTTGTCACTAGAGTGTGCTGGGGCCCAACCCCTGCGTTTATGGACTGGAAGTGCCTGCCTGGTGTGCATAAAAGTGAAAATCCTCTTTGGATTTATTTTGGTTCGTGAAAGCAGGTACTAGTGTAGGTCTTTTGTGAAAGCAAAGTGGTATAATGTGAACAGAAGCAGAGAGCTTGGTGGGAAGGAGGAACTGCCAGGATTTCCCAGACTGCACCACAAGGAAGGCCTCACAGAATGACTGGGAGCCTGGAGTGGGGGGGGGGGGGGAGAACACTCCAGGTGCAGGCTACAGCTGGTACAGAGGCTTGGGAGGGGCCCTACAGTTTGACTCTGGGAGAACAGTGGGTGCCGTCCAGGTGACCCAGGGTGGGCTCACCAACCCCCAGCCTTCCTTCGGCAGGTGGCCCTGCAGAGCCAGGTCCAGAGGCCCCTCCCAGCGCTGCTCCACCATGTCTGCAAGGACCATTATCATCGACCACGGGTCTGGCTTTCTGAAGGCCGGCTTGTCCGGGCTGAATGAGCCCCAGATGGTCCTCCCGAGCATCGTGAGCTACCTGCCGTGCAGGGAGAACCCTGGCCCCAGCTCCGCCCGGAGGCCCCTGAGTCTGGGCATTAACTCCGACTACCCTGACACCTTTAGCTACCCCATACAGCGTGGCCGTGTCCTCAACTGGGAGGCTGTGGAGAACATCTGGAAGGTTGTTGTGAAGAAATGTCGACGAGAGCATGAGGACACCCCTGTAATAGTCACAGAGTCCCCCTTGAGAGAGCCTGCGGACCGACGGAAGACCCTGGAGGTAAGGGCCCCTGGTGCTGACCTGGCTGGGCAGTGGGGAACCACCTGGAAGTTTGTGTTCAGGTATGACTGGGCTTCTGGAATGCTGCTTTCTAAATAATTTGCCCTATAAATGTTTTCCAAGTGTCTTGTGTGTGCCTGACACTGTGCTAGGCAGAAGAGACTCAGGAGACCCCTCCTCAAGCAGAGACTCAGTAGTTAAAATATTCTGGATAGGCAGTGCAGGAGGGAGACAGGATCTCTACTCATCCAGTCCATAAATGTTCCCACATCATATTCTGGTCTTCAAATAACTTATGTTCTGACTTGACCACAAATAGGTTAACAGGTGAGAATGCCAGTAGCTCTAGAATGAGATGGAGTGATTAGAAGACTGGCATGGAGAGGGAGAGCCCCTGTGAAGAGTTTTTTTTTTTTAAAGATTTATTATTTGTGTATACAGAACTGGGGTACAGGCCAGAGGCTCAGGGGTGGCGAGAGGCTTCACCAGAGACAGAGTGGGGAGCAGAACAGGCAGATGGATGAAGTACACTGCTGAGGGGAGCAGCGGGCAGGTCAGGAGAGGTCTGCCGCGCCATGTGGTCACCTCTGGGGCAGGCGGGAATTGAACTCATGCAGAACCGGCTTTAGATTCTCATTGCTGTGCTTTAACCCGCTGCGCTACCAGGGAGGGCCAGAAGTGCTTGGATTTTACCTAAGTCAAGGCTTTGCTAAAGCTGGCCCTCCATTTGATGTTTTCCAATAAAGTTTCATTGTCACACAGCCACGCCCATTCATTTGCATATCAATTCTGGCTTCTTTCCCACTGCAGCCTTGGAGTTGAGCAGTTACAACAGGGACTGTGTAGCATGTAAAGCCTAACAAAATCTACTGCTGTTGGCTCATTAAAGTATATGATGCCTGGCTCAGATATGAATTCCACACACGCAATAAGTGATGTTTTATATCCCGAATATTGCATGGGGCATACTTATACAAAGACATTTTTTTGCCTTACTGAAATTCAGATCGAACTAGGCATCTTATATTTTTATTTGCTACATCTGGCAACCCTCCTTGCCCTGTACAGAATATGTTTCCTAACCCCTGCTCTAAATGAATAGGAAGCTTCTGGGGAATTTTAAGTGGGAGAGTCATATTTGATTTTCTATTTGAAAAAGAGAATGCTGGGAGGTGGGAAGCAGGGGGATAATATTCTGTGTATGGCCGGGAGCAATGATGGGCCGCTGAGGTGTGAGGAGGCAGGTAAGCGGTCCACAGCCTCTCTCAGCTGCAGTGCCAGTACCTGGAGTGCAGTGGGGCGGGTGGGGGAACTTGGGGGTGCTCTGTAAAGACCGTCTTGGCCAAAACCTAAATATCCAAATTCCAGTTTTGTCTTGATGTTTCAGAATATTTTACTTAAAAAAAATTAGCCTTCACCTGCCAGGAGGAGGTGAGTGTTTTCCTTCCCTCTGCTCCCCCTCTTCCAAACTTCTTTCCTTTCCTCTCAATTTTCGAAGCCAGGAGCAGGTATGCAGCGCTCCCCTCCCCTGTCCCCTCCAAAGTCACAGTCAGGCTGCCAGGTTGCCCTTTGCTTTGGTCCCCAGTCGTCCCCGACACGGTGTCAGGCTTCTCAGCGCTATTCCTGCCCGTCTGACAGCCCGAATGGTCTTCTGATGCCCAAACTCTCCCCAGTGCTCAAGAGCCCCAACCCCTCCTGCCACAGCACGCGCCCCAGGGCCCCTGAGCCCAGCACTCTGGCCGCCCACCTGCCCCTTGCGGACACCTGTCTACACTGACCTCAGGTTTGAGAGCTGAGTGCCTAGCACAGTTTTGGGGAAACAAACGTGGAGGACTTCTGCTTAGGGAAAACGCCCCAAGCTACGGCCTTCTCTCTTCTTGTAGATTATGTTTGAGCTCCTGAATGTCCCATCCATACTGCTGGCAGACCAGCTGGAGATGTCCCTTTATGCGTCCGGCCTCCTGACTGGTGTGGTGGTGGACTCTGGCTACGGCCTGACCCGCGTGCAGCCCTTCCATCTGGGCTGCCCCCTGCGCGCCGGGGGCAGGACGCTGGAGTTCGGGAGCCAGGACCTCTCCGCCTACCTCTTCAAGAGCCTCTTCAAGGAAAAGAGCAATGAGCACGACCTGTTTCAGTTGGACACGGTGGGCGCCATTCAGCAGAACAGGTGCTTTGTGCCGGAGAGCTTCGAGGAGGCCCTGGCGTTGTACCAGAGACGACGGGTGAGCAGGTGGGACGAGAACAACACCTACCAGCTGCCAGACGGCACCACCGTGGAGCTGACCGCCATGCAGCGACTGGCTCCAGAGATGTTCTTCAGCCCCCAGAGGTTCGGTCTGCCAGGGCCAGGCCTCCCGCAGGTGGTGCATGACGCCGTCGAGACCTGTGACACCTCCGTGCAGCCAGCGATCGTCTCCCACGTGATGGCCTGTGGGGGCAACACCCTCTGCGTGGGCTTCACAAAGCGCCTGTTCCAGGAGCTGACCGTGAATCATTTCTCCTCCGTCCAGGTCTCCATGTCGGTAGGTTCCAACAGGAACTTCAGCGTCTGGCTAGGGGCGTCTGTGGTGGCTCATCTGTCCACGTACGGGTCTCAGTGGATGACCAAAGGGGAGTATGACGAGCACCTGCGTGTGTGACCTGCCGCTGGCTCCCGTCAGAGCGGCATGAGCAGGTTGATTTCGGCAAGAGGGTCGGGGCAGGGGTTGGGTTAGCCGGCTTTGGAATTTTGGGGTCACGAGGGATGTTTTAGGATTTTATCTGGTATCAAGTGTGGGTTCCAGCTCCTGGAGGGCTCGGTGTCATCCCCTGGGTCTGCTCCGGGGGACATTTTATCAGTGTCCGTCTCGGGGTGGGGGGGGTACGCTCACCTGCTCCCTCTGTGCCTGAGGCCACCTGTTTTTCTCAGCCTCTCCTTGGGTGGATTCACTCTTCTGGGTAGAGTAGGTTTTAGCTGGGACAAGAGGAAATAGGGCCATCGGCTCGTAGTCCTACTTATTTTTAACCAGAGGGTAGGGAGGGTAGGAATGTGGAGAGCTGAGATTTCTAGTCCTTTCTGGGAGGACTTGCTCCAGGTGCTCTGAAGTGCCCCTCCCACCTGGGCCAGGGTCTTGTTTTATATGTGCAAATAAATAACTTATTTGGAACCAGTGCTGGCTTCTGTGAAAGGTGGGTGTAGGGCAGGCAGTCTCTTGGGGAGACACGGAGATGGTTGTGATAACTGTGGGGGCTGAGGGACAGTGGTTACCTGTGCTAGGCCTGAGGGATGGTGAGGTTTGGAAGATGACTGAGGGTCCTGGTTTCAGGGACATCCCTGCCTACTGTGGGAACACAGGAAATGTATTTCAGATGGCGAAGAATGAAATGAATCAGATGTAACAGAATGGGGAGGGGGCCTCTTTCAATGGGGTGGCTTGAGATGGAGATTGCTGGGGACAGGTGGTAACTGCCCACCTTCTGTGATACCTGTGAGATTATGTGTTCAGGTACCCCAGTGGTTAGGTGGGCCCCACGACCATAACACAGGTTTGGCCAGGTCAGCTTGCATCTGACCCTTAAAACAGTTCCATCAGCTTGAGGAGTGCAGAGGCTCCATGGACAGCGGCCAGCCGAGCTGAGCTGGAAGGAACTTGAGTGACCCAACCTACCACCTGCTCTGCTTGAGGACCTGGGGAAGCCCCAGTTATGTGCAACCACTGAGATTTGGGGTTGCTGATATGACCCCAAGTTGTTTGCTTATTCTACATAACTAAGAAAGAGCTTGCTATTTCACAGATCTTTTTTTCTGGTGAGTAGGGAAATGGGGTTCAAATTCAGTGTGGGTTCTCAACCACTGGGTTCAGCGACTGCTTCTGAAAGGGCTCATGGGCCCCTAATACTAACAGCCAATAGGATTCCAAGGACAATGTCCTGCTGTCTCAGGGACGGCAGGCGAATTGGAGGCCAGGGTCCAGCACACGTATTCTTTGGCACATGAGCCATAGTCTCTGAACCGCAACTCTGTCCCTGCACTGGAGACATCAGTATGGCCCAGAGTAACACGTGGGAGCCTAGAAAGATGACTCTTCCGTGGGGTAGTCAGAATCAGCATGGCACAGATCCAGGTATTTGGAAGTCAGGGTTGAGGTGCAGGCTGGTTCTGTCACCCGCAGAGGGCACCTTGGGCAAGCTGGCATCATCTCTAAGTTCACCAGGTGTAAAAAGTGGGAGCAACAAACATCCTCTTCAAGATGTGGGGTTGAGGATGAGTTAAGACGAGACGAGAAGTTACTTTGAAAACTAGAAAGCACGCCTGAAAATGAGATGTGACTCTAACCTTTATAGTTCCTTCTCACTCTCCTATTAATCAGGAGTATTAGTAGAAAAAGCACCCAGCCTGTTTTGCCAGGTATTGTGGGTTTGCAGATAGTCCTATTTAATCCTCATGGGCATACTGAAATGAGTGATGTTTATCCCCATTCACTAGTAGGAAAACCAAAGCTTAGCAACATTAAGCACCTGCTCAAGTTCACACTTAAGCTCAGCTAATAATAGAATGTTACAGTTCGGATTGCAGCAGTATTTTTAGAAAACGAGACTAAAAATCATAGAAACATTGGAATTTGTTTCAGGTGATAAGTAGGCAGCCCCGTGTAATGGTGGTACATCTGCATCAGCAAATACTCTATTTTACCTTTACGGGGTTGCCTCATGGTAACAAAATAGCTGCAGATGCTCCGGGCATAACACCCATAATCCCGGCAGGAAAGAAAGGCTGAAGAGCGTGTGCCAGCTAAGTCTGTCTCTTACCAGGAAAACCTCACTTAGCAGACTTCTGCTGATGTGTCATTTCATAGAGGTAGCCGGAAGAAACAGGAAAGAGCAGGAGCACATGAGTACTGAGGAGCTGATTCACACCACCTGATTTTTGGCAGCGAAGAAATCTGAATCTATCCATACTAAAGCTGAGTGTTCTACCCACGGTGCCAGATTGTCTTCCCCATTGTTGGTCCCCTTCGGCCTGAGAGATGCAGACATGTGATTTTCCAGACTTGAGTGAAAGCTGCTTTGGGGTGGCAGTCATGATGTTGGCATGCTGAGTAGTAATCTTTGTGCTTGAAACAGGTTTATTTGTGTACACCTGAACCTTGAAAGGCCGAAGTGGGGAAACTAAGAAATGAGTATGAGAGAGAAGAGGAAGGAGGAGGAAAGATGGGCAAGGGTTTTGGTTTTGTTTTTTTTTTTTTTTTTCCCTTATTTAGCTCTGGGCAACTGTCATCAGAACTCTTTTTCTCATTTTATTCCAAATGTAACATTTAACCTTTCTGTTCAAGCATCAAATCTGGCTGCCTGGTGTATAATTATGAACTTTTCTTCGCTTTCTCTTCCCCCTCCCCCACCCCGAAAGCTTTTAAAACTCCCTCACTGGGTACCATCTCTCTCCTCTGACTCTCCAATTAAATTAAAAATAGCAGCTCCGTGGGGCTGTGCAGGGCCATCAACCTAGGCGGAACTGCTGCCATGCCAGGCCTGGCGGGGTGGTGAGTGGGGCCCAGAAGATGCCTGCCAGCTCCAGCATGGGCTGGCAGCTGCTCTGAGTGGGGGGAGGCTGCCTGCCAGGGGCAGCCAGGTGCAGGGGGTGGGAGGCAGGGTCTTGGCAGCTGGGGAGAGGGGGCTGGGTGGGGCTGACAGAGGGGACAAAGGGAAGGCCCCCAGGCAGGCCATTCCCAGCTGTGAGGGCACAGTCCTGCCTTTTTCCTTTGCCAAGACTGGGGCTTGGCACCCATGCATTTGAACTTGGATGGGTTTAGATGTCCAAGTTCCCTGACATAACCCTGGTTGAAGCTTTAGGTTCTGCTGAGGCAGAGAACAAAGTCACTGTGGACACTCTGAATCCCCTCTCGGCTCCAGAAGAGACGTTCATTGCCTCTCCCACTTTTCAGGCCTCTTTCTTCAGAGAAGCAGATGGGGCAGTGGACAGGGATGCAGCCGTGGAGGCCAGACCATGTGGATTAGCATCCTGGCAATGCTGCTTTCTGACGCTGTTGCCTTGGGGGGATTCATTTAACCTCCTGTGCCTCAGAAGGCATCACAGGGTAATTTCGTTCCTTGCTTGAGTATAGAAGAACATTCTGTACACAGAGGTATCCCAGGGATGGAGAGTAACTGGCTCCAGAGAGAAGCAGTCAGCCAGAGGCATCTCCTGTAGGAAGTGATGACTCAGGTGTTGCTTGCCAGGGAAGCAAGAGCACACGCTGTTCCTTTTGTTTGGAATGCTTGTCCCTGCTGTAGCCACAGCTGCTGTGACAACCCGGCGTGGGAGTTTAAACAGATGGGACATTTAGAATGGCTGGGGAATGAGGACAGTGGGGTTGGGCAGAGATGAAGACAGAGGTCGCTAGGGTCAGCTTTTGAAAGACATTGAAGCCATCTCAGGGAGTGACAGTTTCAGCCTGAGGGTGATGGGGAGGCCTGTAGAATTGTAAACAGAGTCATGACATCATTGAAGGATTGGTGCTCTGGGTGTAGCTTGGAAAATGGCCCAGACGAGGATCAGACCAGAGAACTTATATAAATCATGAAAACATGCCTCCCATTAGACTCTTGCTCCCCAACCATGTTGTCTGGAACCTCCTCTCTGATGCCTGAGATTGGGAATTGGGTGGGCTGGAGGGGTCAACAGATCTTCCTTTGTATCTTCTGGCCTCTGTCTGGTAGATGCCACTTTTACTGCATCTTCTGCCCAGGGGGCATGAAAATTTGGGATTTGCAGGAAAAGAGTCTGCTTCCAGGTGAGAGAGTGCCATGAATTCACGTTGAAGGAAAGCCTGCCCTGTCCCAGCTGGGGCAGCTGTGATCGGTTCCGTGTGCTCTTTCTTTCAGCAATGCAAATCCTGGACAGCTCCCAGACTTGCTGTTCCGCTCTAAGCCAATTTTAAAGGAGAAAGAAAGAACCTTAGCTAAGAGGAAACAAATCTGGTCTCAGAGTCACACTGGCTCAGGCTGGAATCTCTGCTCCCTGCTTGCAGGCTCTGTCCCCGAGGCCGAGAGCTGCCCCTCTCTGGTTCTTTTGCCTCCTAATGGATAGTTATCAGGCACCTGCTCTGTGATGAGCCCTTTTCTAGGTCCTATTAAATTGAAGAAGAGTCACACAGTTCTGAACACAGCACCTGCCACATAGAAGGTGCTCAACAGGGCATCCTTGAGTTATTCCTCTGCAACCCTGGTAGCGACCAGCCACATGTGGATGTCCAAAAGTGGGCCTCACGCTCTCTCATGCTGCTACCAAGTATCCCTTCTTCCTATCCTTTCAGGGAGCTCTTCTACCAAGGTGCTGGGACCATTTCTTTGGGGATCTTAGATCCAGCATGTGAGACATGGGTCCGATTCTGTTCTTTGAATAATACAGAAGTCACTCAGTTTGTTCAAATTTAGGCCATTGTCCTGACACCAGCTCTGTGTGTCTCCTTCCTTGAGGACTCAGGATGGTGGCTTGGGGGCATTGAAGGCACAGATTCATTTGACAAGGCTTACTGGGTGCATGGTGCTACCCTGGCCAGAGAACAGGTCTGCTTCCCACTGTCCAGGGTTTGGTGAGGTGTGGACACCACCCCAAGGACCTGGGGAGCCCCTCCTTAGTCACCCTGCGTGATGGGGTCAC